AAGGGTAACCTAGTAAGGTAGTTCTCCCAAGAGGGTTGCAATAAAAACCCGAGTTTGGGCCCAAACACTCTCCACTTCCCGGCTTGCCACACACATTGATCTTTCCAATGCATGTGCTCTGCCACCCATCAAGGAGCCTGCACCAGAGCCCACTTCATGCCACTAGGACTGGCAGCCTCCCAAACTATGAGCTAAATAAATGTCTCTTGCAGATGCAACTCGTCTCAGGCATGCTGTTGCAGTAACAGATGCTAACACAGGCATGGAGAGTAAGCTCGGGGCGGCACCCAGGGAGCTCGAGGGTCCTGAACCATGGAGATGACTATCAGGTTGAGCCCTCCTTGGAAGGGGTCAGGCGTGCTTCACTGGAACAGACGGAGAAGGAGGGGAGGTGAAGGGAAGAAAATGCAGAGTCTGGGAGATAGAGGAGCACTGAGGGCTGCCTGGGGATGGGGGCGGGGGCACACATGACACAGCGGGGAGAGGGAGAGGGTGCCACCAAGCAAGATGAGGGACAAACCCCACACCTGCACTCCTTCCGCCACCCACACTGGAAGTGGGGCAGAGGGGAGGAGGAGAAGAATCAAGCTCCATCGTCTCCTTGGACTCCTCTTGTCTAAAACTCTCCCAATGTCTCCCCAGCCACCACCCCCCTGCCCCGGCAGGCTGGCCATGCTCGTGAACTTGGCCAGGCTGTGCTGGGGATGCCGGGCAGGCTGGATCTCCACCTCGAGATGGCTGGAAAAGTCTCAAGCTTCAAAGAGGCAGTTTTTGGGTTCTAACCTCTGGAGAGCAGGAAGCCCTTTCTTGAATCACACCAGCCCCATCCCCGAGGCCTGCAACAGCCCGGCTACTGGTCCCCCCCCCCCCCCAGTTTCACTCCAAGAACGGTGCAGTCTTCAAGGGCAGTGGATTTCTTCCTGGGCCACGGAGGTTTTCTGTACTGCCCCACAGAGGTGCCAGCCTTTCAGAAAACTCTCCTTGATCTTATTTGTAAAACAGAGACCAGAAAAAAGAGGGGGAAAAAGAAAAATCAAAACTATTTTATAGGCTTGCATCTCTAATGAAATTGAACATAAGGGAATGTTCCTCCCTTCTTTTTCATAGGAGAGAAACCCTTGTTAAAAGGTCTAACCTGGACCTCAGAACCTCCTCTGGGTCTGCAACACAGCGCAGCCGCTACTGTTTCACAGCAATGCACAGCACCCCGAAATGGAGCCAATGGCTTCGACGCCAGCATATGCAAAGAGCCCAGGCAGCACCTGGCATACACCAGCCAACGACACAGACCTTTCCCCAAGCCCCAGGAGCACAGCCAGTAAACCGGACAGTCTAGGCCAAACCAGCTCAGGGAACCAGGGTCAGGCAGAAGGTAAGGAAGAGCAGGTGCACAAAACCCACAGGGCAAGGAGGAGCCAGGTGGCAGACAGACAGAAGGAGAGGCGGGGTGGCATAGAGAAGCTGCGTACCTCAGCTGCTTCCCAGCCCACACTGGTCACTTTCCCAGCACAGAGAACCCCAGTGCCCAGCAGAGCAAGCAGGTGAGACCCATCAGAGTTCCTAATGAAAGGCTGGACCCCTAGCGGGCAGATCACCATCAGAGAACAGAGGGGAACCAGGCCTGTCCTGTTAGATACAGAGTGACCACCAGGGCTCCGAATCTGGGTCAGGCCATTGGAGACAGGGATCACTTCACCTCAGAAACAAGAACGCCATTGACAGGCGAGAGCGGCACCACCTGTGACGCACTCCCCACCACTCCACTGGCAGGCACGGCAGCCATGCCAGCTGGGACCGCAGGCCAGCAGAGCCACAGAGGGCTCCGGCTCCCCATGCGGCTGGAGGCGGGAGCCACACTCGCTCTGGACTGACAGAGGAGCACACGAGCACCCCCCAACACACACAGCCTAGAAGTGAATGTTCCGTCTCAGCACACAGGCCGCCTGCACCTTTCAGTCATCACATACCAGAGATGTTCAGAAGACTACTCTTGTCAAATCACCACGACAAGGCTCATCAGGGCCAGAGGCCAGACAGTCCATCACAACTCCTACCGATGCTCCACCACCCGCGGTGTTACATGCACCAAACCCACCGTTAGCTGAAGAGATCTTTAAATCAAAATCGCACTTAATACACCCAGCCCACCAAAAACACTGGGTAAGCCAAGACCCCCTTACTGTCTGAGCACATAACAACCAACAGCAAGCGCATGGCAGGCACCACGCACACAGCCCCCGGCTCAGCAGCTGATGAAACCTACCGACACCCCACTTTACAAGTAGTTTGTGGGACAGGCAGTTAGCCCAGCGGTTAAGCTGCTGGTGCAGACACCCATGACCTATTTCTGGCACAGCTCCAGTGATAGTTCAGAGTGCTTGGGTCCCTGCCACCCAAATGCGGAAGCCTCAATTCCACTCCATGCTCCTGGGTCTGGAGGGGCTTTTGCCCTCGCCATTGCAGGCGCTGAACCAGCAGATGGGATGGGATGTTCTCACACCTCCCCCTTTCTGCTTCTCAAAAAAAAAAAAAAAAAAAAAAAAAAAAGCTGCTTGCACTCCTGGGCCCAGGCCACATAGCCAGGATGTGGCAAAAGGACCCAGCCTCCTGACCACTACTGCTCCCAACCTGCCACTTGGAGGAAGCACCACCACAGGACAGAGAACCATTGCATTTGGATAGGCACCATTTGAAGATGTTGTCAGTGAATCCAACTGCAGACACGAAACAGGATGAAGTCCCCACCCCGACCGCACAGGTAGAAAGATCTTGGCCAGAACTGACACACATTTCTGGTGAACGACCAGAGAGCACACACAACTATTTCAGGCTTTGCAGTCCTTAGAGCAACCTCTCTACTCTGCCACAGTGGCACAAAAGCAGCCCCAGACGCTGCACACAGGGACGGGCTGTACACGGCTGTGCTCCGTGCACATGGATCCCCCCACAACCAAAACGTATCTGACCACAAATGTCAGTGACCCCTGCTGCCCACGTGGGAGACCCAGTAGAATTTCTGGTTTTGGGCTTGCCTGGCCCTGGCTGTTGCAGCCATTTGGGAAGTGAACCACCAGATGGAAGATTCTCTCTGTCACTCTGCCTTTCAAATAAATAAATAAATCTAACTATCTTCTCTCTTCATATTTACATATGTGGGCACTTCAAAATATCCATAGAAAAATGGAATTAAAAGTTTATTTTTGTGTTAAAAATGGGAATTTTTTTATTTTATTTTATTTTATTTTTTGACAGGCAGAGTGGACAGTGAGAGAGAGAGAGAGACAGATAGAAAGGTCTTCCTTTGCCATTGGTTCATCCTCCAATGGCTGCTGCGGCCGGCGCACCGCGCTGATCCAAAGCCAAGAGCCAGGTGCATCTCCTGGTCTCCCATGCGGGTGCAGGGCCCAAGCACTTGAGCCATCCTCCACTGCACTCCCTGGCCACAGCAGAGAGCTGGCCTGGAAGAGGAGCAACCAGGACAGAATCTGGCACCCCGACCAGAACTAGAACCCGGGGTGCCGGCGCTGCAAGCAGAGGATTAGCCTATTGAGCTGTGGCGCTAGCCTATAGCTTTTTTTATAATATACTTCTCAACTCTTTGATGACCCTTAATATGCATGGATTACAAAAATGTTTGCACCACTAAAAACTTATCTTTCGATGTCATCTTCTATGAACTTTTTGTAGTACCCTCACATAAAACAAACAATAAAAGTTCCTGGAGCCTCTTGAAAAGAAAATTTGTTTATAACCGGATATGATTTCCCATGTTTGAATTCAAGTTGCATAGAACTGAACCCACAGCTGCTACACGTCTCCTCGAATCATCACTGAACACTGCATCCCTCAGGGCCTGTTCCCAAGTGGGTCACTAAGCCACACACTGATCTTTCTCCACCTCACCTGACCCCATTCTTGCCTCTCATCGACATTTTATGCCACCAACACCAAAGCCGTGGAAGGCGCCACTTGATGGCCAGCCTTTGCCATTGAACAATACCTACAGGCGGCCACCTACATAGTAAGCCCTGTCCTGATATCATGGGACCAATAACAGGAGGGCTGGGATTTTCCATAACGTGTTGTACTCCAAAGTGCACTTCCAAGTTCTGTTTTGTGTCCTTGTATGTGTGTGCGTGCATGCATGTATGTGTGCGTGTGTGTGCATAAAAATGTGAGGCTTGCATTTTGGCCTCATGGTTAAGTCACCACCCAGAATGCCCACAGTCCAGTTATCAAAGTCCAAGCTCCAGGTCTACTCCCAAACCCAGCTTCCTGCTAACTTTAACAAAGCCTGGAAGGCAGCAGCGAGAGCTCACCTAGTTGGGCCCATGCCACCCATGTGGGAGACCTGAACCGTGTTCCCAGCTCCTGGCTTTGGCCTGGTCCAACCCTGGCTGTTGAGGGCCTTTGGGGAGTAAACCAGCAGATGGGAGAGCTCTCTCTTTCACCACTATGTGTCTCTCTCCCTCTTTGTCTCTCTGCCTCTCAAATTTGAAAGAGCAAAAGCAGTAAACTGGCAGAAGCCAAAGATGAAAGCTATTAGTGAGTGCCTAAGCTCCAATGACCTGTGCACTGGCTGAACGCAGGCACTCGTGTGGCTGGAAGCCCTTTGGCATCCATCAGACATTCCTCCCCACCCTCCCCACCTCACCTCCGCCAGACCTCAGTAAGTGCTGTTTAGGGAATGATAATGAGAATACTTTTCAGCATTCCCTGAGCACACGCCCACATGAGACCACTCCAACCAGGAAAGTGTGAGGGAGGAGACTCCAGCTGCAACCACCAACACAAACTCTCAGGTCACTGACTCTCCGCTCCCAGGGAACAAGCATGTTGGTACAAGAGCTGCCCCCAGAGGGCGCTCCATTAACTTCCCAATTCAGCGCCCAGGCAGGCAGTGGGGAGGGGTACCCACTCCAGGACAAGACCAAGTCTCAGCGGGCCTCTCTGGGGTCAAGGCACACTGGCTGGAGAGGCCCGGGCGGTACTGCACTTACCATAAGCCGTCATGACGCCAGCGTACGGCCCGTCCACCACGTTCCTGTTCTCTTCTGCCAACGCCTTGATGTACCTTTTGCTGAGGTCCAGGATCTGTTCACGCAGCATGGAGCTGCTCTCAGGCTGTGTTCGCTGCTGGATGGTAAAATGCAGGAGCATCATACCCCAAATGAAGCCAAAAGTCACCAGGAAGAAGCCCAGCTTCTGCGAGGACAGCTTCCACGGAGTGAAGAGAGCCATTGCTCTCCACAGCTTCACCTGCCCTTGGCTCCTAGCGCGTAGAAGGGAGACACGAATTCATGGTGCGGGCTAGGGCGTGTGAGTCCGCCGCTCTCACTCCGGCTCCTGCATCGGCTGAGTTCCTTTCCTCACTTCCATTCTGCTAGAAAGAGAGAGGCGAGTTAGCCCAGGGGTCATGACCACACACAGCCAAGTAAGACACAAGTCGTGTTTTTTTCTCAAACAGCTCTAAATAAAAAGGGAACTTCCTTCTGGCTCAGTTCACTGGTTGAGCATCTCATGTTGTCATTAGGGATGGGTAAGCTGAGAGGGGAAATCTGGCCGGAGGACAAGACGTGTGCAAACAGAGGGGAAGGGAAGTGAGCGTCTGAGCGTGCCGACAGGTGTACTGCGGCTGCTCCTGTCTGGGCCACATGCAAAACAGGAAGGTACTTCTGCAACGTGGGGGGCGGGGGGGGGAGATGTGGGCAGGGACAGCTATTTCACCAAATGTCAGCAAAAACCCAAGTGGAGGGCGGTCTCCTATCTGCACGGAGCACACGTGTTGTGTCTGTAACTCAAGCTCGCAAAGTCATTATTAACACACATCTGGCAAAGACCAGCGTCTGCAGCTGGGGAGGTGAGTATGGCAGTGCATATCTCCTCTGGGGTGGCTGATGGCGAACGGGGAGGGGGTCCCCGTCCTCCTTCGTCACAGCCAGCTTTCATTCTCAGTGTGGAGACAGGATGACTCTCGCGGTGCCCCGGCACTGAGAAGATATGACAGAGATGGTCTTTGTGCACCTGCTATGGGGAGCCCAAGCTGCAGCTCCCTGCTCACTCACTCGCACTGTGCGAGCAGCAATATAGGAAACACACAGCACACAGCTGTCTGCACTGCTGAGCTTCTCACTTTTACTCCCACCAAGAAGCAAAATGTGAAGTTGAAAGGCAGCTTTTCAATACCAACACAGCCAGATCCTATCTGATACCATCGCAAGCTGGTGTGAAGTCCTCACTCAGGGCTCCCCACCAAGTGGGGTCCCAGCATAAGCTACCCACACGTGGGTCACTGCTGTGCTGAGCTCTCCGCCCCATGAGCCAGAGCTCCGCCTGGAACCATCCAGCTGCTGAACGAAGTGCCCCTCAACGGAGAGGCTGAGCGGGCTCCTAAGGAGGGACTTTGAGGGGCTGTGTACATTTCAGGCCTAAGGATTCTTCTTCTGAAGCTACCCAGTACCCTAACATGGTGGCTCTCTGTTTAGCCGCCTCTCGCTGTCTTCCCCTCATCTATCAACACAGCCATCAGTACTGGGTGGTTCCACTACAACTAACGGTAAGTGGTAAGTCATTTCTAGGGAGACCCCAGGCACTGTGATCAACCCTCTTCTGGGCTTCAGTTGACTGAATCCCCAGCAAGGTCCCACAAGGTAAGAAGTATTGTATCACTAGTACCATGTCTTCTATGAGAAACCAATGAGATAAGCAAATAAAGGGGCAGGGTGATTAACATGGCAAAGGACAGCTGGACAGCCAGCCACGTGATTGTCCAGGGTCACCCAAGGGCCAGTAAGCCACACCCCACTTCCCCTGACCATTCCTCCTGCCCTGTACAGCCAGGAATGCTGCACACATACCTGAAGGGGTAGGGAAAGCAACAGAGAATATACAACAGAGATCACGGGCAGCCCAGACAGCCTCAAACACTGACTATGCAACCCCAGTGGCTGGGTTCCATGGATTCTCCAAGTATGGGTCCTAACTCCGCCCCTGGTGAGAAATGCAAATTCTCAGGCCCCACCCCAGACCCACTGCATCAGCAACTCTGGGGAATGAGGCCCAGCAGCCAGTGCTTCTAAGCCTTCTAGGTGATTCGGATGGTCAAGTGTCCAGGAGGCTGGATTTGAGGTGTATATATTTCTGACCCCAGGCAACACCACTATAATGGCCACAGGATGAGCCTCAGTCTCCATCCTGTAGTACTTACAGCTCTTACAGTACAGGTGCTCCTGTCCAGTCAGATGCCATGGCCCTGCTGTGCCCCTCACCACCATACACCTTGCACATCCTTCCTAAAGTGGCTCTCCCACTGGGCTGCCCACGCTCTCTGGATTACACTGACAATCCACAGCCTGCCTGTTCTCCAAACCCCAGCTCCAGTCCCTGGACTTCAGACCTCCCTCCCCATGGCACCAATCACAATATACTCTTCCTGGCCTCAAGTCTAAAGGCACGTGTCCACCTTGGACTATTTATCAGCTTCTATGCGGAACTCCATGACAGCCTGTAAGGGACAGACACACACACACACACACACACACACACACAGATGCTTCTTGACTTATGATAGGAGTATAAGCCGGTGCCGCGGCTCAATAGGCTAATCCTCCACCTAGCGGCACCGGCACACCAGGTTCTAGTCCCGGCCGGGGCGCCGGATTCTGTCCCAGTTGCCCCTCTTCCAGGCCAGCTCTCTGCTATGGCCCGGGAAGGCAGTGGAGGATGGCCTAAGTGCTTGGGCCCTGCACCCCCTGGGAGACCAGGAGAAGCACCTGGCTCCTGGCTTCGGATCAGCGTGGTGTGCCGGCCGCAGCGCGCTAGCCGTGGCGGCCATTGGAGGGTGAACCAACGGCAAAAGGAAGACCTTTCTCTCTGTCTCTCTCACTATCCACTCTACTCTGCCTGTCAAAAAAAAAAAAAAAAAAAGAGTATACATCAATAAAGCCACCACCTGTTGAAAACATCTTAAGTCAAAAATGGAACACATTTAACACATCCAATCTACCAAATATTGTAGCTTAGTCCAGCCTGCCTTCAACGTGCTCACATAACAAGGCTGGCCTACAGTTGGGCAGAAACACCTAACACAGCTATTTTATAATCAAGTGTTGAATATCTCATGTAGTATATAGGATACTTTATTCAAACTTGAAACAGCATGGTTGCATGAGCTCACTTTCGCCCCGTCATAAAGCCACGCCATCTCAAGTCAGGAGTCTGCGCGGACCTTGGAGAAAGACCATGACCAGGGGCACAGCAAACCACCAGTTAGGTGAGCTTGTCACGGGGGCACTGCAGCACTGCATGCGGCCCCTCTACTGCACCTTCCCTGTTCTTTCCTCCATGCATTCTGCAAGTGCAGACCCACCGCCTGCTGCCACTCGGCCCCGAGACTGAATCACGGCCAGGGGCAGTTTCCAACCCTGCAGACCGTCCCTGAAACTGGGTGCTGTGCCCACTTCCTCAGGTTGTGGTTGTACTTCCTTTTCGATAACGCTGTACTCAATTTCACCTCAGGCCTGAAGGGATTTTCCCAGACTGACTAAGCGAGGTGCTACACCAAGACAGAGTCTTCGGCTGATTTTCTGTCTCTATGTTCTGACCGGATCCCAGTCACTGGCAGGAATCCTCTGTCAACTTCCAGACAGGAAGCCACGCTCCACTGGCTCGATCAACCGTACTGAGGAGACGCCCCCACCTCCCGCAGCCAGAAGAGCTCACGAGGAGGACACAGGACAGTCGACCTCACAGAGTGCCTTGGTGCCGTGAAAGGGCTTAATGGGGGTCACCGGGAATGGTCAGGAAATTAACAGAGAAGTCCCTGGCCGACAGGGAATCAAAGGAAGCTATTTACACTAAGCATCTGCCTGCCTCCGAACCATCTACCAGCTGAGTCCTCCAGCCAATGGACCCAGTGGACACAAAAGGGACTTGAGAGTGCATCTCAGAAGTCCTTGGTGGCAGCCAGAGTCAGGAGAGCAGCCCAGAGCCATCATCTCATCAATCCAACTCCAGAAGGGCACCGAGTCTGCTTAGAATTTTTTTTTTTAGGCAATGGTTTCTTTCTTTTTTTTTTAAACTTTTATTTAATAAATATAAATTTCCAAAGTACAGCTTATGGACTACAATGGCTTCCAAATGCTTAGAATTTTAACTGCCTCAACAGGAATGCTCACTACTCCTTACTTAATACAAAAGCATTCACTTCTTATTTTCCACCTACTCCTCAACATAGTAAAATCTGGTTTTCATCTTCCCAAGCATAGTCAAAGATCTTGGGCAAGGAAATGTCCAGTTCTCCTACTTTAAAAAAAAAGAAAAGAAAAGCACATGACAGTCAACATCAGTAGTCATTAAGGGACATGCAAATGAGCACCACAATGAGATACCACTTTATATCCATTAGGATAGTTAGAATCCAAAAACACAGGTAATAGCAAATCTTGATGGGAATGTAAACTGGCATAGCCATGATCCAAAAACAATCTTGCAAATAGTTCCATAACTCAAGCAATGCTGCTTGCAAGAATTGTCCCAAGAGAATTACAATGTAACATCCACATAGAAACGTGCACCAGACTTCACAGTAGCATCCCTCAGGAGAGACCAAAGTGAAACCACCCAAATGCCCATCAAGGGCTGAATAAATAAGCCAAACTGGTAAAGGCACTTGATGTAATATCATTTGGCAATAAACAAGGACAAAGAGCGATTACGCGACCCCACGGATGCCCCTAGAGAACACTATGCCAAGTGAAATAAAGGCATTCATGCAAGACCACCTACCGCATGATTCTGTTCGTACACAACCTGGAAGGCAGGCAAAGCTGCAGCGAGAGGAAGTACCCTGGTGGCTGCTCAGCTCTGGGCTGGGAGGGGAAGAGGGGACTTTGGAGGTGGCAGCTAAGGCGCTCAGAGTTTCTTTTGGGGGTAACGAAAATGTTCCAAAATTGATGATGGTGATATAGGCACAATTCTATAGATGTACTGAAAGCCACCGAGTTCTACACCTGAAATGGGAGAACGGTACAACGTGTAAACTGGATGTCACTCAAACTTTGTCCACAAAGGAAGAAAGCAAGGCCACCCTGGAAGTTGGAGGGAGGCGGTGGCGGCGGAATTCTCCTTGGATCAGGCAGATGAGCCTCTTTCCCTCTGCCCCTGACGGCACAGCCAGCACCAGGCTACAGCCAGCACGAGGCTGGTCAGGGGCCGAGCGACAGAGGGAGATCACAGGTGTTTGCCTCCAGGGCTCCTGACATGGCCACTCTCCTAACTTTCAGATCCACCTCCGTCCAGATGCCTGCTGGACTGCTGTGTCTGGTGGATTCCTGTTCGCAAACCACAGAAGAACCCTTTGAAAAACAGCCAAGTTCCCAGGGA